AAGCAATGTTGTTAATAATTGACAATTATTCCAGCTTAAAGATACCACTCTCACCCATAATACCCCAAATAATATATAGGCTAAATAATGCCACCAAAGTAAACAAATGATCGTGAGCATGGGATTCGCAAAACCCAAAATATAATTTGTTTAATTTCAATAAAATACAAACCAAAGACCTTCTGAGCACATAAAGTAAAAATTGACAATTTTTGAAGTAACCTGTTAAGGTAGTGCAATGCCAACGTTTAGAAAAATCAAGCACCAAAGGACATGTGCAACAGTATAATACCGGGTAAGATAAATATACAAAGGCAGTACTTTAAATAAGCAGAACAATAAAACTAAAACCAAAGCTATGTTTGAGAGCATAGCAATGCATAATCCTGAGACAGAGAATAACGTAGCCAGTATAATTACTTCAAATGAAGAAATATAAGCATATTAATTAGGCCAAAATCTCGCTTATACCTGAGTTAATAATGCAGAAGAAGCATCAAGATTATCTAATAGTTTAAGAAACTGGTTGAGGAAGTGAAAATATAAGAAAATCGTTATCTAGATAGCAAAAAAAATCAGCATACCCATAAGAGAAATTGACAGTATAAAGATAATAGTATAAAGGAAGGCATCTGATGAAGTACTAGATAAGAGAATTAACGCGCATCGGAGCAACATAAGCCACAACAAAATAATAAATTGGGAATGTCTATTTTCACAAATAAGAATTCAAAGAATATCTATCCTTTAAGGAAATATAGCTCCAAGCGAATAATAATAATATTTCTCCTTCCAGTGCAAAGTGTTGACAAACAGGAAGACTCCTTGTGACTAATCAGAAATAACTAGGATCCGAAAAAAATTAGCTAAATTGCCAAAGGCTTAAAGTGCAGGTCAATATTAACATTTGAAGCCATGGATCTAGTTGATAAAAAGTTTGGAGATCGCATATGCCTGCTTCAATCTAATCTAGAAGATAAATAGAGATTTCCTGGTCGCAATAGCAACAAGACGGAGCCAGGATAGCTTAATGTCTTTCGATGTAAAAAAAAGAAATACAAGAATGAATGAAAAATCGACAATTCCAGCAAGTGGCAGTCAATTGTTCGAAAACGGAGATGAAAATGTTACTGTTCATTTCTAAAGAAATTGAAGAAAAGTAGACGATTGTAGAAAAAGAGACTATGACAAATGGATCAAATAAAATATAGCTCAGGCCTTGAGATAATAGTATGAGCTATGGCCTTTCAAGCTAAGGAATTACATCCTGCTGCATTAGTGAAATGATCATAGAGCCCCACAGCCTGACGGAGTTGTCCAGGCGATAATAGGCCACAATCAGTCAGGTTGGCCAAATGGAGCAAAAGATTGGCGCGAAGTCCCCGTTCAGCTAGCCATCCGGCATGCGAACGAAGAAAGTGTATCACCAGTCCTGGCAGCTGGGAGTCACAAACGACTAAATGGCACGGTCTCATGGATAGCAAGAAGGCGTTCCAGGCCTGCATTATCTGTTTCTCACCCTAAAAATCAGCCAGAAAGCAAAAAATGACTTTTAATAACAATTTTTATTTGGTTTGGATAGCAAATCAGATGGAAGCTACGCTCAAGGGTAGGCTGAAGCCATAAACTTCTACCAAATGGAGACAGACTAATAAATGCTCTTAAATTGTTTATATAAATGAAAAATAATGTTGTTATTTTATTCAAAAGGTATGAAGACTAAGATGGTGTGGCCTTTTGTGGGGTCGCAGTCCCCTTTCAATGTGTATAAGTTGTTTGACCCTGTTTTCGCAACTTGGTCATATTGGTAGGAAGATTTAGAGGAACGCACCTAGTCCGGAGTCCATTGTATG